TTGCGTTTGTGCCTGCCAGTGCGCCCTGGGGGCTGCGGGCCAGAGCTAGCCACCGTGCCGCTGCGCCCGCGAGTGGCTCTAGCTCAGTTGCCCCCCACGTGGGAGGCAGGGTCGGGCTGATGTTTTCCAAAGTGCATTTAGCAACATTAAAAGTCATTTGCCATTTTGTTGCCCAGTCCCTTTGTTTGGTGAGAGCCTTTGGACGCGCGTCCCAGGCTGCTTTGGGCTGAACGCTCTGGAGCAGTTTAGTGTCGTCTGCAAATGTGGCCACCTCCCCGTCCCCCTTTCTCCTTGCGGCTGTGTCCAGGGCATGTGGGGTTCACTCACAGGTCTGGAGCAACGTCCCGCCCCGGCCAGCCTGGTCTCTCTTGGGGCCACCGCCAGGGACTGGACCGTCCTGAGGCGTGTGGCGCCGTAGGGGGAGCGTTGGGGAAGCTGGTGCCCACCTCCACCTCAGCTTCCATTCCTCCTCGCTCCTCCACCTGCCCGGCTGACCGCTGTGGCTGGGCGGGTGGTGTCTGGCTCTGGGAGGCAGGGGCCGTGTCATTCTGCTTCTGTTGGAAAAAATCTTTCAGACGCCTGCGACTAGCAGAGCTGGACGCCCGACCGGCCCCCCGGGGCCAGCCCAAAGGGCCTTGCAGCCCAGCGGCCCACCTCCCGACGGGCTGGGGGCAGGTGGAGCAGAGGGACTGCACAGAACGAGGGCTCTAGCCCAGCCTGTGCACCTCTGCGGGCGCTGGCAGCGGAGCGGCAAAGGCCTGGCCTTTTCAGAGCTGGGTAGGAACGTTTTCATTACAAAAATTCTTCATATTTGACAGAAAAATGGCCGTGTGCCCCCGCCCCTGTGTCCACCAGCGGCGAACCAAACACGGCCCCAGCCCGCAACCCTGCCAGGGGACGCTTCCGAATTTGGGATAGAAGGGAAAAGTCTTCCTGGGAGAAACGGGGCCTGTGGGTCGCTCGCGAGGGATTGTGGCTGACTCCCCTGGTCACTGTCCACACCGATCGCCCTCCCTCTCGGCAGACGCGTCACACCTGCGGCACTGCAGCCTGCAGCTCAAACAGGCGAGTCCTTTCTGTGCAAACCCTTGCCAGCGAGTAGCACGACCCTTCTCTCGGCGCGGGGAAAACCCGGCAGCCACCCCGCCGTGGTGGGCCAGGCCACGGTGCAGCCCCGGGCGCGGCGGCAGCCAGGGGCCCGGAGTGTGGCAGGGGAGCGCAACTGAGCAGTGCGGTGAGGCAGGCCAGCTCCGGGCTACGCTCCAGCCAGGAGTGATAGTTTATCGGCCTGCACGAAAACACTTGATCCTAATGCGGTCGCAGCGCTGGCTCATTGATTTGATCGCTCCCTTCCATGCGCGAGTCTCTTATCTCGCATGATAGACAAGGCTGTTTGTTTCTGTGCCACGGCCTTCAGGCCGGCAATGACAGCGGGAGGGGGTAGCCCGCTAGCGGGGGAAGGGGAGGCACGTTAGCTGCTCACACACCCTGCGGGGAGGGGGCGGGTGAACGTGCGCTGGTCAGTTTCCACTGCCCAAACAGAGGATTGGTTTTTGAATTGAGCGGCCGGTGCCTACGTGTGGAATTGCACCCGGCTTTGCCCTGGCCCGAGGCCTCTGCTCCCGCCAGCTGCCGGCTGGGCTGTCGCCCTGGGGGGAACCTGTGTCCCCGGGCGGGCGGGTGCGGGGCGGCGATGAGGCTCCGGGCTGATGAGGGGCGTGCGCTTGCGCTCAGACGTTGCATTAGGGGAGTGCGAGGCGGGGGCTCCCTACCAGGGCCCGAGGCTGGGGCAGGGCCAAGGGGCGAAGCGAAAGTGACCAGGCTGCGGTTGGCCCGTCGGTCAGGGGAACCGGAGCCCAGTTTTCCTGAGTCCCAGCCCGGTGTCCTGGCCGCAGCCCACCCCCCCCCCCGCCGCTGGCCGCGAGGCCGGACTTGGGGTTAACGGCTGACCTCATGCCTGGCCCGTTCTTGCAACATCCAGCGGGAAGGTCAGGCCCACCGCACAAGGGTACGAAAGTTGACGTCAAAGGAAGCAGCTGGTGATTCACTGGCTCTGCTCAGCCTTTGTCTCGCGGGCTGTAACTCATCTGGGAAATGTCACCCTAGCCTTGAGTGCTATCGGGTCTCTGCCAGCGCACCCACCCCTCAGGGAGCGACCCCCCGCGGGATTGCAACATCCAGCGGGAAGGTCAGGCCCACCGCACAAGGGTACGAAAGTTGACGTCAAAGGAAGCAGCTGGTGATTCACTGGCTCTGCTCAGCCTTTGTCTCGCGGGCTGTAACTCATCTGGGAAATGTCACCCTAGCCTTGAGTGCTATCGGGTCTCTGCCAGCGCACCCACCCCTCAGGGAGCGACCCCCCGCGGGAGGAGAGACCGGCCCGGCTGATGCCTCGGGGCTGGGTGTCTGGCCCTGTTCCGGGGCGCGCCGAGCACCATGCCGGAAGGCAGGGCTGTGATTGGCCAGTCTGGCCCCCCAGTAGGACACGGACCCAGGAACTGCCCCCAAAGCAGGCCCAGAGCAGGGCTCTTAGAAGAGCCTTAAAAATGGTCCGTGAGGGAGACTCCACCACGGCCCGTGGGCCCCGGTGCCAGTGGCTAATTACCCTCCGGCTTGGTGTCCGGCTCCGGCCCCAGCTAGTGGATTGTTAGGTGCCCCCTCCCTGCGGTGCCTCAGTTTCCCCTGCTGTAAAGCAGGATGCTCGTCCTGCCCCCCCCCCGAGCAGTATGGCGTCAGGGGCACAGAAAAGCGCAGCGCTGCTGCTTGTCCACGTGGCATCTGCCTGGGTGAGCTGCGCGTGTCCTGGAGGGTTCAGCTCCTGCGCTTTGCCCTGCGCAGGGGGCCAGGCTGCCCTGCCTTGTGGGGCGGGTTGTGTCCTCGGCTGGCAGGGTGGGCGAAGCCCAGCCCAGCCCACGACACGCTGTGCAAGCCGTCTGTGTAGCATCCCTCCGTCCACCCCGCCCGGCTTCCAGCGGGGGCCAGGGCTGGGCCGTGGGACCCCCG